TACTGCCTGAAAACTAAAACAGCTTTCTAAAATGTTAAATGTGAGGATTTATGAATTCACAGCTGTCACTGAATTCAAGGTGAAATAATCAGTGTCCCTGATAATTACTGCTGATGCAGGAAGCTTCGCACAGGAGTTCAGCTGAGGCCCTCTCACAGTGTTCCCCACTCTCCTTCTCCTAAGTTTTTACTCAGTCTTTGGATTATTTCTAAATCTTTAGTGAACATCCATTTCTTTTCTAGAAGTTATAAATGAGCCCTATATTAACTGTTTTACCTTACTTCTTCGACGTGTCAGTAGAACAACACTTCTGTTGCAGAAAATTCCTAAGGCTTTAGGAGCTGGCACACATTATAAATTCAGCAAAGTGGTTTTGTAAGTGCAGATTATACTAAGGAAAGCTTAAAAAATGGACAATTAGTGCTTAAGGAAAAAAAAGCACCATGGCTCAAGTGATCTGAGTGGCTTTTATGCTGTTATTACGTGGATTACAACAGCTTTTACAGTTACATAATAATATCCATAGCAGGTCAGGCCAAAAGCCTACCTAGACCAGTATCTGAGAGGTCAACCACCACCACCACCACCACCACACGCCGTGAGAACTGGCCAAGAAAAAGAATAGGGGTTTGGCCAACTCAGGCATCCGATGCGGTCTTGGGTTTGGGTTAGGTTCTTCAGTCACCTTCGTTAAAAGAAAGATTCAGCCAATTCCAGTGGGTTGGAGATGGGATTGGGAATGGCTTTATTCCTGTTGACAACAAGATTTTCAGTCTTCTCTGCTTAACTTCTTGATTGCAAACTTGTAAATGACTAATAACACCTTAGAAGAAAGGAAAGAGAATTCACTATTTTTTTTGTCTTATGAATGCAGAAGTACTCCCCGGAGTATTCCAGCATTCTTCAGCAACAATTATCAGCAACTCTTTATACTCCAGCAAACTCTTTCTACAGATAAAAGAAATTTGGTTCTTGTTTCGTATTCTGTCTGGTAGAGTGCAAGGAATAACTCTTCTGTAAAAATCATAAACCCAAAATAGCAATAAAAAATAGTCACCAGAAGCCTGAGCACACTGAGCTGCCTGCAGGGACCAGCATTGGGTAAAGCCAAAGTGTGTGGTTTCCTCCTCTGCTGAACCAAATACAATGGCCAAGACCTCACAGAACTGAGATCATGGCCCAAAATCTGAGGGTACAGGAGGAATTATCCTGCCCTCTGCCAAAATAGAGACAGCAACGTAATAAGGGACAGGTCTATCCCAGTGAAAACGCACAAGGGGGTCAGTGGGTACCAAGATTTTAAGAGCTCAGAACTGAACCTGTCAAGTTCCTTTCACATTTCAGAATAAGGATTTTCCAATCAGGCACCTTTAAATTCAGTTTTTCTTAACAGAAAAACAACTAACTCCATCTAGAAGTTATTTATAAACTATTTTGATCCTCACTTGTTTAACTGAGCTGGAATCCCCTGAGAAATATTGTATTACTCTTCTAGAAGGCATAAATGTATCCTGATTGGATTTACTGATCACCAACAGCAGGAGGAAAAAAAAAAAAAAAAAAATAATCACTAACAGCAGGAGAAAAAAAAAAACAAACACCTTTCTGTACTCCTCTTAAACATATTTAACCATCATAAAAAAAAAAAGGTACCACCTCTTGTTTAGCCATTCTTCCAACACTTAGCTTGAACTAGACAACTCCAAAGTGCCACCTCTTGTTTATCCATCCTTCCAACACTTAGCTTGAACTAGACAACTCAGTGATTCAAACCATCACACAGGAAACAAGACAGCTTTGAGTCAGTCTTGTTTATCTTTCGATCAGGTTCTTGAAACAACTGAAACTGAAAAGTGTGAAGATACACTTGAAGTATGCTTCATACTGGCAACTCAACAATTTAAGAATACAAAAGATCCTTCTTTTTTCTTCTTTTTTTTTTTTTTTAAAGCCATATAGTCCTGTAGCGATGAAAATCAATTCTTCTGAGCAGAAAATACACCCCCATGCAACTGAGGAGACGAATGGAAAGGAGCCAAAGAAAGAACCCACATCATGTTACTGGCTTGTCCTGCGAGACACTGATGACTCCTGCGATTACAGGGAGTGGTAGCAATATCTGCTTACCCCCTCTTAAGATGTAACCCGGTTCAGGCAGCATCAAAGTCATGTACAAGGCTGTCTGTCAAGCAGGAAGTGGGATCTACTCAATCACATCAGTTATTCACACCTAAAGAATCCTCACAACATTTCTTGTAAGTGGCTGCTTTACAAGTGAAATAAGGAAAGCGCTGAGGGAGGGGAAGGCAGGCAGTCTCTGCTGCAGTCTTTTCATCTCCCACAGGTTTCAGAACACTAGTGTGCCTACTACATTTTATATTTTACAGCCCATTCACAAAAACTTATTGTGCTCGCATATCAGTTAAACCAGATGTAAATTTCAGAATTTACTTGGTTGGAACTCGATGATCTTTAAGTCCCCCTCCAACCCAAACCATTCGATGATTGGATCTAGAAACAGAGAAGTACTTCAGCTACTATTAAGATGACATTTTTTGTTCAAAAGACTAAAGTTGTAACCAAGTGTTGTCTAAGAGGCAGCCATCTAAGCTCTCAAAATGCCCCGCTTTGCTATCACATTCTCTAGATTGTGGCAAGCCGGTCTTTGTGCAGAAAATGCAGTGGTGGCAGAGGTGAAGAGCTAGCTCTGTGTCTAGACCACTTCTCGAGCTGGGGTTTTTGAAACAAACATTAATCCCTTTTGGTTTCCTGACAGCAAATGAATCAGGTTCCTCAAAGAATTTAGATGCCGTTGTCTTCTTCTGAAAACGCAAGGAGGACCAATACCCTAACTGCTGGGGTTTTAACAGGTTTTATCTCCTCCTTGTGTTTCCTCTGATTCAGTTAGTCTTTCAAGTCCGTTGAAGAGCGGCACTGCTTCACCAGCAGCAGCAGAAGACAACAAACCTTCAAACACAGGGCACTCTTGGGGGGGGTGGGGGAAGACAACTGAAATGTGCAAGGAAGGATCTAATCTCCGTTTCCGCTTCTCAAACAAGTAAGGCGAAGCACAGCAGTTTCCTCAGAATAAGGTACAGCACCTGATCTCAAGAAGAAAACTTCTGATTGTCATCTCAGAAAGGAAGGAATTGCTTTGACCTGAACACGGGGCAGGATCTCAGAGAGCTTCTCTAAATATTTCTCCTGGGCTAGTCCAAAGCACTCTCAGGCCAGGTGGCTCTCCTTGGCACACTGACCCCCTTGGCTCCCACCACACACAGCCACGGGTGCCGTGCTCTGCACGCCAAGTCACAGTCACCAGCACAGATTTCTGCTGTCGACTAGAGGCTCGGATGAGTGAGGGCTTTCCTCACCACCCATCAGCTCCACGCTGTCAAATTAAGTTCTCTATTATGGAACCCTAGTTGAGAAACTGAGGGTTTGGGGCAGTTGCCAAAATACCGTCTAGACGCTTGAGGAATAGAAGTAAAGTGAAGTGATTTCCCTCTACCCTTCTTATCCAAGTTTAGGGACATTTTTTTTTACTTTGCGCTCCAAGTTAAGAGGATTTATACTGACAGTTCAAGTCCCAGATTTCAAATAATCCTCAAGGAACACGATTTGCAATAACTGAGTATTAACAGGCCAAAGAATAAAAGTTGAACAAGTGAAATTTGATACAGCATTTTCCACCTTTTTTTTTTTTTTTCTTTTTTACCCCGGCACATCAAACAGAGACAAAACCAAGAAAGAATGTTTCTTTATTTGTACAAAATGAGTTACCTCAGTTTTTAAAACCCTTGCCATACCCAGACAGCTACACTGCTGAAGCCCTCCGCCAGATCCTTCTCCGTTTACTTTAAGGGAAATATCTTGGAAAGCCTAGTTCCCTGCCTTCAGAAGTTTTCCATGACAGCAAAGAGGCAGTATACTTTTAAGAACACCATCCCAGAGCGCTGTGTTTTGTTTGAATAATTGGTATTGTCAGTCATCCCACTAGACTACACTACTATATCTTCAGTTAAACGGAAAAAAAATTATATTACCACAATAGTACACATAGAACATGCATTAAGGTGGGCATTCAAGGAAAATAACATGATTCCTACATAAACTACAGTGTAGTTAGTGATAAATATGCACATGTATATTTTCAAGGAGTAAAATGCAAAATTAAAAGGCACCACGACATTTTTTAGAGGCCAAAGACACAAAACTGGCAACTAGTGCTGTCATCACAGGACTGCAAACCTGGTAATTGCTTTGCTGAACATACTTGAAATTTTAAAAGGGGTGTTTTCAGCAGCCTCTTCATGGATTAGAGATAGATATATATATTTGTGTACATCGCAATGTGGAGATAGGCAACTTGCAGACGCCCAGCTTGCGAGGCACCGGCTAAAACTCGAAACCCAGTTCTCCCCGGATTTAACACCGTCGATCGCTCGGGGTTTGTCCCGGCCAAAAACATCAGCCAGGCCCGGGCAGAGGGAGCCGGCGTTGGGAGAAGCAGAGCTTACCTGCCGCTAGCCCTGGATCCCCTTCTCCGCCGCGACGGGCTGGAGAATACCCACGTCCCCAGAAAGGTGGGGGAGCCCAAGGGAGAAGGCTGGGGAAATCCAGTGCAATAAAAAAAAAAAAAAAA